ATAGCCAAACGGACATTTGGAAAAATTGGTTCAGCTTTCTGGATCTTATTTTCCTTAACTGTAAAATAATAATTATTATTATTATATTGGCCATTAGGTGTCAGATTAAGTCATTTTACGTATGGAACGCAGTTGACTTCTCTTCCCTCCCCTACTCCTGTACCTGTTCAGTCATCTGTGGCCACATAACAATAATCCAACCCCCCATCTCATAGGATAAAGTAAGTTCTCTTCTCTAGGGTATTTCTGGGAAACGCTGAGGAATGGGTATATATTCCACAAGTCTACCCAGGTGGAGGCTTGTCCTCCCTACCAGCCTCTTTGCTCTGCATTATTACTTCCTTTGAGCTCAGCTGGGCATCTCTAGCATCCGGTTTTCGAGGCTGTTGATACTCACTCTTGTATATCTTCATTCCTAATGGATGTGAGCTCCTTCCTTCAGTCCCCAAAGAACAGCTAAAAGAGGATGGAAACGGTGTAACTGTTTTCCCCCCAGCTTTGTTGAGTTATGATTGACAAATAGAAATTGTATATATTTAAGTTGTACAATGTGATTTTTTTTTTTTTTAAATGGGAATGGTATAACTTTACTGAATATTTGGGGACAATAGAATTTAACAAAAAGACTAAGCTTAGCCTTGCATAGCTACTGGGCCTTCATAAAGCTAGGGGACCCAAAAGGTACCCTCAGAACATTTCTGCTGAGGAGTTCAGGCCACTCTCAGAGAGAGGAAGAGCTCCATCCCTCCCAGCCTAGAGTACACCTCATCCCCTTCACCAGGAGTCAGCCCAGTTCCCAGGAAGCCTGAGGGGGGGAACTTCCATTCTCTCTGGAGGAAACGCCCACTCCCACCTGTCAGGTTGCTCTCTGACCCAGTCACAATCATCACAGACCTCTCTGGCTTCATCAAGTCAGGCTTCCTTGGCTTAAATAGCCCCGGAGGAGCAACTCAACAGCCTGGGCCAGTTTTGGGGGCCAAGCCTACATCTCCCTCCTTGTGGGGGTAGGTCTTGGCACTGGATCACTTGTGAGCTCATTTTTGGTCCGAAAAGCAAACTAATCTTCCAAGAATATACAGTGATTTTTCAGGCATCGGAGACTGCAGTTCCAAGTTTTACAGAAAAAGAATTTCTGACTTCAGGATTCATCTGGAGAGTCTCCAATTGACATTTGTAAATGGTATACATTAGGATGAGAACTGGTCTTACCAGTAGGACCAAAACCGCTCAGTGACGTGGCCCCTCCTTAAACAAAGGGAGTATCTGTTCCAAAGACAAATTCATTTTTTTCCCCTCATAAACTACAGAGACCATCTGAAATTCCCGAAATGGCTGCTTTCCAGCCTCAAATATTTGAAGCCCCAGTCTCTTCCAGGTGCCTTGTTCTAATAAATTTTCTCCTTTGATCCTCACAACAACTTTATGGGGTAAGGTATAGCTTCCTTCGTTTCACAAATGAGGAAACTGAGGTTCAGAGACTGTGATAATTAGCGTAAGCCTGGTAAATTGCAGGGTGGGATGCAAATCCGGCTTGGCCGTTTGTCCTGCATCTCCCTTTTCCCAAGACCTTTTCCAGTTCGATAGTCTACGATTCTGAGGTCCTTATGGTACTGAAAGGCTCTGACCCTGGCCAGTGGGAAGGCAGCCATGGCTCACAAGAGTTAACACCAAAGGAGAGCACGGGCTACCTAATTGCGGGGCCCTGGGCAAAATGGAAACGTGGGGCCTTGTTCAAAAGTTATTAAGAATTCAAGACCGTGACAGCCGAACATTAAATCGAGCACAGGTCCTTGTGAGCGCTGGGCCTTGTGCAGGTCGCAGGCCTGTGGATCCGGCAGCCTGGACAAGTCACCTTGCTCCTGGGAGGGGCATGGACCGTGGAGTGAGCTGGTGCTGGAAGAAATCTGCCTGTTTTCTAGCGAGCCTTCTCCACCTGATCCCCTGCAATGTGGCGTGATTGTCAAAGAAAGCAAGAGACCGAGGGGTTGAGTGTACCAGATAATTTTTGCAGTTTAGCTGCTTTTCTTCTTCTTCTGTTGTTGTTTTGAATAATCTATGTTGCTTTTGAAGAAATTGCTGGAACTGGTTTGAGCCTTAATAAGATATGAAAAAATCGGAGGCAAAGGGGGCTGGCGATAAGAGTGGAGCTTTCATTTGGCGCTGCAGGCGCCAGGAGTGGAGGAGCGGGTGCCGTGCGCTCATCCGAGGCAGGTGGGCGGTGTGGGACAGAGGCAGGGTGCAGGAGGGCGGCCAGAGAGCTGCGAGCGACAGTGCACGGCTCTGAACAGCAGAATGACAATTGGGAACATAAAAGCCAAGGCAGAAAGTGCGAAGGAAATAGAGCAAAACAAACCCCAACTCAACTACAGCCACCTGAATGAAGCGGAGTTGAGAGAAGAAACAGCTAGTCAGGATTGTAAGTGGAAGATGGGATCCCCCAATTGTTTTCCCCAAGGATAGAGGCATTTGGGCACTTGGCTGGGTCGCCCCAGGAGGCAGGATTTGCTAGAGAGGGTCTAATTCTAGCGGAAGCCTACCAAATTCTCAGGTAACTGGTATTTGACTGGTATACTCCTTTGAAAGCCAATTTCCAGCTTTGTGATTCTTTCCAAGGTCGCTGAGCATCCTGTGTGCAGCCTGGGGCTAACCTTGGGGATACAATGGCTAACAGTCAGGTGTGGTGCCTGCCCTCCTGGAATTCTCAGTCTGGAGGGAGAGCCAGAAAAACGAGCAAACAGGTGGACAGGCAGGGGAAGTGTTGAAGGGAGCAAGAGGAGGGGCACCTCACCTAGAGAAGGCCCCTCCCTGGGAAAGCAACATTCATGAATAGAAGGATGAGTAGACTTTATCCAGGTGTTGGGGATGGTGGGGGTGAGGAGGGGATTCCAGGCTAAGGGGAAAGCATGTGCAAAGGCCAGGAAGTAACAAAGAGGATACTGCATTTGAGTGGTGGACATTGACTGCTAGGAGAGACCTTTCTATCAATAAATGTTAATTGAGTGGCTACTCCATGCTTCAATACTAGTGAGACATCCCGTACACTAGACTGTGCCACTCTCCATCACTTGCTTTTCCAACTGTAGACCCTTACCTGCTTCTCTGTTCTCTCACTTCTTTCCCTCTCATACATTGACTGACTTTCTCCCTTTGAATTGTTCCGTGTATTAGCAGAATACAAATTCTGCTGGTGTTTCAAAGATCAGAATAACATTGGCTTAAGCAAGAAAGATGGAAGTTAATTTCACTTTGATGAGATTGCCCAAGAATAATCAGCTGATGAGGTGGCTCCACAGAGGTGAGGACCCAGAGTCTTGATCTTGTGGACGCAAATAATCCATAACCAATCTATAAATCAAAATTGGGGAGAGTTTATTGTGAGCCAACCCTGAGGACCATATAGCCTGGGAGAGTCCTTTCACAAAAGAAGGGAGCACTCCAAAGAAGTGGGGGTGTACAGCGTGGTTTATATACTGTCAAAGAGCATACATCACATGTGATTGGAATATCCCTTTTACAATAGTCATGAGATTGCTTTGCCAGCACAGCAACTCAGTGAACACAGCAGGTCGGTGGTCGCAAGGGGGGTGGTCGCAAGGTGAGCACAAGTCACCAATTAATCATTAGTTTAGGGAGAGATGCTTATCCTTAAGGAAATGCTGATGTGGGGGAAGTTCCCTCCTTATCTTTAAGGACATTGTTCTTGTCTTTGGGACATAGTAAATACTTAAAGCAGATATACAGTGCATGCTCAACAGGCCACGTCAGGCCTTTTTGGAAAAACAAGGTCAGGCCAGATTAGTTTTAACCTAAATGGCTTTCTCATATATCCCGATATATCCTATTGCTTGTCATTTATTTATCGATCTCTTGTTCTGCTGCCATCCCTGAGGAGTTGTTCTTGAATGCATGATCCAAAATGGCTCTCCACCATGCCAACTTTCCATGAGGCAAGATAGAAGGAGACAGAGGAGCGCACACTCCTTTCTTTTAAGGTTATGGCATGGGAGTTGCATGCATCATTTCTGTTCACATCTTATTTGCCAGAGCTTAGTCATGTGACCACACCTAGATGCAGGGAAGTCTGGGAAATGTAGTCAAGCTGGCTCCCATGTTTAACAAAAGCTCAGAGGTAAATGGATGTTCAGACAACTAGCAGTCTCTGTTCTGTTTCTGGTTTGTAGTCTCAAAGATCTGTCTTTGCAAACTAATATCGCAGTAATGACTCTCCTGTTTAGTTCAGCCCTAGGATCTTCATCTTTCATGTGGACACTAGAAAGGCAGAGAATATCAGTGCTGGAAAGTTAAATATCATCATGTGCCCCAGCTAAAACTTACAAAAGTCAAGTCAAGTCAAGTCAAGAGGTAAAACATTTATGGGATGTTTTAGGTCAATAAAAATTCCACTTCTCAGGGCAGGGCAAGGGAGGTCTACTCACTTTATTTAAAAGAGCTTTGTGGATTGAATTAAATGCTGAAGGAGTCCTCATTTGGGCCTTAAAAGCTCTCCATTGAGAAGAGACAGTGAAGGCTACAGACTTGCCCTTAAGCCCTTAATCAAGGCCCAGCCTGAATTCCTCAGGCTTTGTTCCTTCGAAGGGCAGGGAAGGAAAAAAGTGATGAATTGACAAGGAAAGCTGGCAGGTGGTGAATGTGTTTCCCCAAAAGAAGCCTTTGGGAGTGTGAGAGATGGGCCATCCCTGAGTGAATGGGTTCGACCAGACAGATGATCCAGATAATCCAATAAAACACTTGTTTTTGTGACTAATCCAACTGTCATACCCCATTTCTAGGAGCTCAAACTGTCGAAAAGTGATTCTGAGTCTTGATGCTCACTTTCTGGTTTGCTTAGAATTAAACTTTCAACTCAGCCCTATCTCCAAGCTGCCTTGTCATGTTTCAGACAATAACATACTATGTAAGAAGAAATTAAGAAGGGAGCAAGATCATTTCGTATACTTCCGGGCTCAATGCTTGTAATTTGGGTTTATCTGCTATTTGAGATTATGTGTGTCCCATGATTTCCTGCCCTCCTAGTCACACTAGATAACATGAAGGTTATTTGTGTATGTGTCTATTTCTTACACCAGGTTAAAAAGTTTTGAGGAACAAGTCTCCATCCCAGTTCCTTGGGTGGTCTTTGTAGTGTCTGGCACGTGGTAAGTATTGAATCAATGTTTGTTGAATTGCTGACTTCATTCAGATAACCAAGACTGATTGTGGCTCTTTTTAGTTAATCCACTTTGAAATTGTCAGCAGTATAAGTTATCAGAATGCCATATTTCTATCACATTTGCATGCTTTCTAACTGTGACTCCATCCTCCCCCTCCTCCCACCTTCCCTCTAAGAGTCCATTGCACTCTTTAAAAATGGAAGGAGTGCTTATCAGACGCTGGAGAGAGTCTACGCATCATAAAAATTAATGATATGGGAAAATTGTTTGGCAATTTCTTATTAACTAAACACACACTTTCCTTAAGACCCAGCTGTTGTACTCTTCAATATTTATCCCAGAGAAATAAAAACATGTTCAGACAAAAACCTCTCTACGTGAATGTTCATAGCAGCTTTATTTATAATAGCCTAAAACTAGAAACAATCTTCATGTCCTCCTATGGGTGAATGGTTAAACACTCTCATGTATCTGTACAGTGGAACACACCTCAGCAATAAAAAGGAACAGACTTTTGCAACATGCAATGTGTTAGTTTGCTAGGGTTGCTGTAACAAAGTACCACAAAACTCAGTGGCTTAAACAACAGAAATTTATTGTCTTACAGTTCTGGAGGCTACAAGTCCAAGATCAAGGTGTCGGTAGGGCCATGCTCCCTCTGTAGGTGGTAGAGAAGGAACTATTTCTGGCCTCTCTCCTAGCTTCTGGTAGTTCCTTGGATTGTGGGCAGAATAACTCCAATCTTTAGATGGCAGTCTCTCTGTGTGCATGGCTGTGTTTAAATTCCTCCTTTTTATAAGGACACCAGTGTGGGGGAAGAGGGAGAATCCCCCTCTGCCCTTTCCCTTAAGGTTCTTCTGGCTGGCCAAATAATCAACAAGACAGGTTAGCAGGAGAAAATAATACCAAGTTTAATAACATGTATACATGGGAGAAACCAGGGATACTGCGTTTCTCGACACAATAGCAGAAATTCTCGTCTTAAATACCATCTTCAGCTAGACAAAGGAGGATGTTGGGGGTGGGGGGAGTCAGTTACAGAAGATTACCACTAAAGCACTGTAAACAAGGGTAAGGTTATTATGCAGATTTAAGGCCTCACCTTCCACATTGATAAGTTTCTAGAAATGAGGTCATCCCCCCTCTTCCCAATACAGAGAGGGAGATACCTTTACAAATGGAGATTTCCCTTATTAATGTAAATGTTTGTTTGGCAACTCCTGGCAGGGCCATCCAGAGGATGGGCCAGAGAGACAGAACTTCCAATAAGATGGGCTTGTTGGTGCCTTTTCTATTGTAACAGCTATTTTACATTACATTACAGCCATCAGATAGAAAATCTGTTCCAGGAAGGAGTTACTATGTCAAATTCTTTAGGCAGTTAGTGGGGGAGGTCAAATGTCCATCAGAGAAAACAATCAAGGTAAAGAGAGAGATTTCAGGGTGGCCAAATCTTGATCTCCCACACCAGTCATATTGGATTAGGGGCCCACCCTACTCCAGTATGACCTCATCTTAACTAATTACATCTGTGGTGACCCTGTTTCCAAATAAGGCCACATTCTGAGGTCTGGGAGTTAGGACTTCAACATATGAATTCGAGGGGGACACAATTCAACTCATATCATGTAACAACATGGATAAGGGCATTATGCTTAGTGAAAAAAAACCAATCTCAGAAATTATGTAACACACACGAAATGACAAACTATAGAGGTAGAGAACAGATTGGTGGTTCCCAGGAGACAGGGATGGGGTGGGGGGAGGGGGGCGTGAGTCTATAAAGGGTAGCACAAGGGAGTATCTTTGTGGTGATGAAATAGTCTGGATCCTACGGTGATTATACAAGTCTACGTGAGGATCAAATTGCACTGAACTGCATCCCTTTCCCCCGACACACAGGAGCGCATATAAAAACTGGTGGAAACTGAACAAGGTCTGTAGTCTAGTTAACAGAATTATGCCAATGTCAATCTTCTGGGTTTGATAGTGCACTAGTTCCATAAGATGTCACCATTGGGGGAAGCTGGGTAAAGGTTTTATGGGACTATTCCGTGTGCTATTATTACAACTTCCTGTGAGTTCGTAATCATTTCAAAATAGAAAGTTAAAAAAATTTAATGATGCGGCTATGTTGGGAGATGGGAGGGAGGAAATGAACGACTAGAGGTGTGGATTGGGTTACAAAATTTCTTCTGATATGGTCATAATCCTAAAAACGCTCTTTGCCTCCCAAATTCCGTGACATTTGCACTCACACCTCCTTCCTTCTCTACTAGCAAAATGAGGGGCTTTGTTTGGGTGAGATGGGCAGCAGAGGGCAGAGAGGTCAGAGCACACATATTTATTCATTTCCTTCTAGACATCTACCCAGGACTTGATTTTGAGATTTTCAGATTCCAGTTAGGTGAAATCTGGGCTGGCAGCCCCGCTACCGGGACCTCGGCTTCTCAGATCAGCAATCGGCCAACTCTCCTATCCACCCCTTTCCTTGAAGTTCTCGTACCTGGGGAGCACCTCACCCGCCCTGTCCAGCCTGCCCTCTGCCCCACCTCCACCTTCACCTGTGCACAGAGCAGGGCCACACTCCCAAGCCAGATTTGTTCCATGCTGTCACCTGCATCAAAGCAACTCCCAGAAAGTCGGCTTTGCAGTTTCCAAGCCTTGATTCAGAGGGTCCGGGTTCCAGGCTGGCTCTGCTGTGCGTACTTAGGCGAGTTGCTTCTCTTCTCTTTGCCTCATTTTCCTTAACTGTCCAGTGATGGTAAATTCTTCCTATCTAATCTTGAAGCCTAGAATATCCTAAAGCTTAAACATTACAACTGATGGAAGTTTTCATGCAAATGCAAGGTTCTGTTATAATGACCTCATAAAAATAATATAATCATGATTAATTATTAAACATCTCCCACATCCTAAGTGCAAATATTACCTCTTAATTCTCCTAAGTGTCATGGACCTCCTGGGGCTATACCAAACACAGTCCATGCCTGCCCAGGAAACGGCCCCCCCGACCCTGTTCACCCTGACGGTACCTCTAAAAACTAAAGGAATCTTTGTCTCCGAGTCTTGACCGACGAGACCTGGAGCTTTGTTTGCTTTCAAGTGTCCACATAGTCTTTTACCCAAGATCCCCACGCCAGAGCCAGCTGGGCAGGCTCAGCAGAGCTGACTGTGCACACTTCTTCCCGGGTCTGGGCTCCCTGACATCACGTGGGGGCTTGAAATCCACCATGGTGAGAGTATTTACATGGTGGACGTTGGCAAATGCCACAGATCAGGGCTATGTGTTTGTTCCCAGGAAGCCAGTCTTCCAGCCTAGGCAGATCCATTGCAAATGGGATTTCTGGTGGTATGTTAAGATATCTCCCAGTTCCTAAGGTGGAAGGGAGGATCCGGCCACCAACATAAAATAGTAATTATGAATGTACTTGAGAGACCTGCTCTAGAGCTTACCAGTGTTACCACGAGCAATTAACTTACGTCTCCAGATCTTTGCTTCCTCCTCTGTAAAAATGAGGATATTGACAGAGTCTACCTCCTACGCTTAAAGCACTTCTTGTGTTATCTTTTCTTACTGTACTTTTCATCGTTACCAATTTTATTATGAGGATCCTGGTCTCTATAAAAAGGTAGCTTTTGGGGGGCTGGCCCTGTGGCCTAGTGGTTAAGTTTGGTGTGCTCTGTTTCCGTGGCCTGGGTTTGGTTCCTGGGCATGGACCTATACCACTTGTCAGCGGCCATGCAGTGGTGGCGACCCACATATAAAATAGAGGAAGATTGGCACAGATATGAGCTCGGGGCAAATCTTCCTCAGTGAAAAAAAAAAACCAAAAAACTGCTTTTAAGCAGTTGACCATGCCACTCTTCTGAGAGATAATCCAGTATAATGTCTATAGGACAGACTCTGGAAGCTTTCACCTGGGTTCAAATCCTCACTCTAGTACTTATTAGCTGTATGACCTTGGGCAAGTTATTTAACCTCTCTGTGGCCCAATTTTCTCATCTGTCAGGTGGAGATTATAATAATACCTATTTCTTAGAGTCATCCCGAGGATTAAATGAGTCACTGCGTGTAATGCATAGAAAGCAGTGTCTGACTCGTAGTAAATCCTATTAGGAGTTTGCTATAATTATTCCGAAAGTGATTGTACTGGGCTGAATAAATAGTATCTCCACAGAATTCATAACCTTCCTGGAACCTCCGAATGTGACCTTATGTGGAAATAGGGTTGTTGTAGATATAATTAGGTAAAATGCCACACTGGAGGAGGGTGGGTTCCTAATCCAACATGAGTGGTAAGAAGAGGCAAGACACAGAGTCAGACACACACAGAGGGGAGTGATGGGAAGACACACAGGGAGCATGCCATGTGATGACAGAGGCAGAGATTGGAATGCCAAGGAATGCCAGCATTGTTGGCAACGGCCAGGAGTTAGGAAGAGGCAAGGAAGGATCCTCCTCTAGAGCCTTCAGAGAGCAAATGACCTTCTCAACACCGTGATTTTGGACTTCTAACCTCCAAAACTGTGAGACAATAAATTTTGTTGTTTGAAGACAAACAACAAAATGTGATAGTTTGTGACAGCAGCTACAGGAAAGGAACACAGTGATCCTGTTGGAGAGGTTTGAATGAGGTTGAACTATCCTTATCCGCTGCCTCCCTTTTGAACCCCAATGCTTGTGTTTCTTAATATCCTTTCTGCTTTTGCTCTGTTGGCTCTTTCCCTAGAGTCAGGGCTCCAACGACAGCCGAACTCCTTACTGCTACACGATGGGGCTTGAGGGCGACTCAGCTGGGATGTGCGTGAGGTCTGCTGAGGTCTGTGGGCTGCCCCCAGAGGCCCCCTAGGACCAAACTCCAAATATCTGCTCTGGAAAGATGACAAACAAATTCACCAGCTTGAAAGATGAGTCCAAGTTTGTAAATAGCCTTAAAAGTGTTCAGTCATCTTGTACATACCTCTTGCGCTCTGAGATGCCGCCTCTCTCTGCCAAAAATTATGTTTTGCTGAATCTTTTCTTTATAATGGTTGAAAGGAAAGGTTTCCTAAGTCCTGTTGGAATGTTCAGTACATACACATGTCTATCTGCCACATACTGATGTCACACCTCATAGCGTAGTGGCATGTGTGCTCACCAACACTCACTGAACATGCCAGTTTGGCATGTTCCAGGTACTGGTCTGAAGTTTCATTTACATTGTCTAACTTCCCAGTAACCCTGAGAGGTTGTCGTTATTATCTCCATTTCGCAGAAAAGGAAACGGAGGCACAGGAAGTTTATGTGACTTACCTCAGATCACACAGCCAGAGTCAGGGTCGGGATTTATTTGAGCCCCTGAGGTCTGACTCAAGGCCACTCCTTTGTC